GTCGTCGTTTTGAGCTGGATAATTGAAGACGCTTCTCATTTTTGCAATCAAAAATAATCAGCAGTCACAATTTGTTTTGTTGAATGATACTTTTCTCTCTTTACGTAGTCGAGGCTAATTACAGCTCGAATTTATTTAATAATATATAATAATAATAAATGTACTTGCACTGCGAACAGTTGCACTAGTCTCCAGCTAAATGCCACAAAAAAAGGATACTCTTTGGTGTTTCCACAGACTTGAGACAAATTTTATGTACTCGAATGTACTGTATGTGTTGTGTTACCGCAAATATAACAGAAAATAAACACACACACACACATATATAATTGCCGCTTAAGAAGGCATTACAAGTGTGCGGTTAATATATGTGGGGTATATGGGTGCACTGAACTAACATTTGGCTAAAGAGTCAAGGCAGTTGTCGCACATTTATTACGATTGGGGAGTCATACACACATATATAATATATATGCACACGTTTTGTACTCAAAGAGCACTTTCAGAGTTAGCTTCTTGTTGTTGTTTTTGTTGTAGCTGTTGTTTGGATGGTCAAGGGTCAGTCAAGAGAAGTGTTGTTGCCGTTGGCCACTTTATACACTTGGTTAGGGGGCGACCTTACATAAGGAAAGCGTTTGCAGACAGCGATTAAAACCGAAACCACAACTAGTATGCATAACTGTGACAACACCAACAACAACAACTATTACACTTGCAACAACAACAATCGTATAGCGTGTTTGTGTGTGATTTAACGGTACAGCAAGTGACGGGCACAGTGCGAGGGTTGTTCACAGCCTTTGTCCACCTATCCGAACCGACCAGACCCAAATCTATCAAATGCGTCCTTGAGCCGCAGGCAGAAAACCGAAACAAACAAAAGTCCTTCAGAAAGGATGCTGACAATTGTTTCGGTTGCGCATGCGTGTCTGTTGAATGACAGCAGCAACTATTTACACATGTACATATATATGCCTATGTATATATATATATATATATATATATATATGTGGATACATTATATGTATTCGTAGCTACCTGCTCAATCGGTTTCTTTCTACCTGTTTGTATTGTGTTATCCTCGGAAACTGCATTTCACCGAGCACACTTAAAGTTTGAATTGATTGCATCCACCCGCTTCTGGTTATGCAATTACCATTACAGCTATCCCCCTTTACCCCCTCTCTCTCTCTCTCTCTCTCTATCTCGCAATCTCTTTTGTGCGAATTGCGCAAAGCCCCAAAAAAAGCAAACAAAAAATTTCCCAAAAAAATCAACTGCAAATTCGTCTCATTTTTTGCTGTCGCGAGCTTCGTTTAACATTTAATTTAATTTCATTTTCCGCGCTTGCCTTTTAACTTAATTATGTCAGTCAACGTTGCAGCACACACACACCACAATGAGGCAGCAATTGCTTTGTTTATTTTGCGACAATGCGCGGAAGCGGAGCAAAGGCAAAGAGTAACTGCAAGTGGAAATGTGTTTAAAATGTATTTAACACACGAAGCATTTGCATTTATTTATCAAATTGAAATGGCGATTTTGAAACGATTTTATGCTAATTGATTTTGATGATAGAGGCTAGGCAGGGGAGGCCACACCGTGGAGGGGGATTGGGTCCCAACGGGGGCGTGGCAAAGAAGTGTCACTAACAACAACAGCAAATATGCGCAGCTGGGCAGCATTTTTAGATTCATGCACGAACATATCAATAAAAGAAACAGCAACAGCAACAACAACAACAACAACAGCTGCTGAAGCACCTCAATAAATGTGATTTGAACAACAACAACGGCAACAGCAACAAGTGGTGGTCGCCGCAACAGGTTGAGCATAAATTATGACCAAAAGCCAAAAGTATTTTTTATTTTTATTTTTTCATCTACTGTGGCCAACATTTTTCTTGCTGCTGTTGTTGGTTGCTATTGCTGCTGCTTCTGCTTCTTCTGCTGCTGCTCGAAGGGAAATTTTCAGTTTGTTATGCTGGCAACTTTCACAAAGATTCGAACTTTTCAACAGTAACACTTGAAGTAATAACAAAATTGATTGAATCCATTTTTTTTTTGTTTTTTTATGCTTAATTTTTATGCTATTTTTTTGCAACTTTTTTTTTGGCTACCAAAATAGCAAGTCAAGTTTGTCGTCTAAGTCTTTTGCTTTTGCCCATTCAGCATTCTCTGCTTCAGTGGGTTATGCAATAGAAGAGACAACAAAAAACTCACAAATTTATATGTCAAACGTATTGAGGTCTAGTTGACTAGTTGTGAAAACTTTTCCAAGGGAATATGCACAAATCAAGAATAGAGAATCGAGAATATAAATTAAGAATCGAGCGGAGTGGGCGCTGCTACTTCCTAATTGATAAATGGTCACCCAGATTCAAAGAGGAAACGCTGCAAGAAAGAGACACATATAAACAGAGATAGAAACAAATAGAGAGAGAGAGAGAGAGAGAGAGAGGGGGGTCGGGGAATCGGAAATTGTTTCCTGTTTGGTTATTTACAAGATAATTAATCCACATCGATGTCAAATTGACATGTGCGCAACGTGAAAAGACAACGACAAGAAAGGAAGTCATTAGCTCTACACATGTGTGTGTGTGCGTGTGTGTGAGGAAACAATGCCTAAATGATTTACGTATAAATGACCAAAACATCCAAAATGAATCTTTAAAAAACAAAATAACGAAGAAGGCCAGTAAAAAGGCCCAAAGACAATTACAGCTTGGCCATTAGCACGTGCTAAAAGCTACTGTGACTGTTGCTGCCGCTGCTGCTGCTGCTGCTGCTGCTGCTGTTTGCTTGTTTGTCCGTCTTTTTGGCTATTTGGTGGATCAGTTGCACACCCACACTTGCAACCAACGCATTTGGGGGCGATGTAACGAACCAATTAATGCGAACCATTTAAAACGGATTAGTCTCCGTTTAGTTCAAATTGAAAGTGTGGGCAGAAACCCACGCCAGCTAGACAGACAACTAAGAAGTAAAACACAATCGGTCAGTTGCCAGTTTACAGCGGAAGTGCAAGTCGACACCGATGACAAATAAATGCGTTGCCCACTCTCGTCTCACGTTCAAGTTGCCTTTCCAGTTGGAGTTGGAGTTGGAGTTGGTGTTGAACTATGAAGTGTGTCGTGTTTGGTGTTTGGTGTGTGGTGCGAGCTGTGGGTGTCAGCGATAGCCATAACAATGCACCCAAAAGTTAAGTTAAGTTTCAGAGTTGAAAGGCAAACAACAACAAAAACCAACAAGCCTTAACAGAGCTATATATGCTGTTAGATATGTCTACCTGCGTGCAGTCTAAAGTCCAGGTGACAGGAGCCAGCAAGTCACACAGAATCTAGTTGCTCGTTGCACTCCTGTTTCCTGTCAAATGTTCATAATTTATTTTGAATCTTCCTTGTTAATTCATCATCTGAATTGTAAGTCAGAGCGAGTTTCACACATGCTTTGCTGCCAGCTTTGATGCAACGCTTCTAATAAAGAAAGCAAACATGTCTCGATTTCCATTTAAATAGGAGATTGAAAAGAGTCCCCTTCTACTTTTACTACTATCGATATTTTTATTTGCGCTACCACTCCAACTTATATTCCCACTCGAATGCTCCTTTTGAGTTCTACCCTAGTTAACTAAACTGTTTTTTTTTTTGTTGGCCAAGTAGCTATGGATTGCTTATAAGTTTTGCTTTGAGACTGGCTCGTGCCAATCAGGTCCAGTCCAGTCCAGTCCACACGAAACGAGACGAGAATCGTGTCCAGACGAGTGTTGCAGCTGTGGCGCAATTTTGGGTGCCTAAATGGTGTGGTTGGCTTTTGTGGTTTTTGTGGCAAACCAGTTTTTTATTTTGTTTTTTTTTGTTTTTGTGTTAAGATTATCTGCCCGAGTGGCGCTGATCCCAGTTGGAGTTGCTCCAATTTAATGTTCAAGTTTTAAGTTTCTGCGTTAGACGCGTGTTTCGGCTGAAGGCTGGCCAGGGCTGGATGAAGGGAGCGGTAAAGGCAAAGCCAGCAACTGACAAGCTTTCACTCCAACTAATGTCTGAGGTCTGAACTCCAGCTGCAATTGCAATCTGCTAATCTCTTTTTCTTTTTTTTTCACCACTAACACATTTTGGCATAATTAGCCAAGATGCTGAATGGCTGGCTGCTCGGCTGGCTTGTCGTCCACAGATACCCTTATAACTGGCGGCTGCTGTTGCTGTTGTTGCTGCTGCTGTTGTTGCTATTGTTGGCGCCCAAGACATGAGTCATGATGCCAAGTTGAACTCTGACAGCAGCAGCAACAACAAAAATAAAACTCTTACAACTTCTTGTAACAACAACAAATTGAACCGCCAAACGACCAAAACGAAACGAGACTTTACGAGTATTGCGCCAAAAAAAGATCAAGAGTCGCCAGGCGGGTTTCAGACTTTACGTTTTACTACTCAACTCGGCTTGGCTTTGCTTTGCTCTGTGCTCGACGCTGACAGCAGCAAATCTGTAAAGCCACACAGAGAAACCGAAACGAGTCTGTGCCAAGAAGCAGCAGCAACAGCAGCAGCAACAGCAGAAAGCAGCAGACACCAGCAGCAGCAGCAACAGCAGAAAGCAGCAGCAACAAAGCTCAGCAACAAATTTAAAAATACAAAAGGTTTTGCAGTTTTGTGGCTAGCTACAAAACTGGTTTTCATTTTACTTAACGTTTTGGCCACAAAACAACGCCAACTCTTTGGTCAACTGGTCTCTTTAGTTCTCTTGAGTCTAACACACACACACACACACATACACACACAAGATGGCAAGATGGCGTCGCGCCAACCGGTTTAAGACCTCATGCCTCTTATTGTTATACACAACACACAGATTTTCGTGTAGAGATTTGTTGTTGTTGTCCCCTATATATGCCCCTATACAACTTGGAGCCCAATCTCCAATCTCCAATCTCAAGTCTACAATCTGCAAATGGCTTTGGCTAATGTGTTTTTTTTGTTGTTTTTTTTCCATCTCTCTTCTTTGCAGGTCTTGTGGCACTTGGATGCCTTTCGACGTTCGTTCCGGGGCCTCAATCAACACGTTTGCGGCGGCCAAGATTGCATATTCTGTGCCCTGAAGGTGAGTTTTTCGTTGTTGTACGCTTAGCCTGGACACGAACCAGTGCGGCATTTTAAGTTTCATTTAGAATATTTTTGATTATTTACATATGGCATTGCAAATGGTTTAATTTTCATAATTTTATACGTATAAGTGTTTTATTTGAGTCTACATATTTGATTTGCAGGTTAAATGTGTGTTTTATATTTCATATTAAATTCGAATTCATTCATTTTTTATTGCATACTTTTAGCTGCGAACAAATTCGATTGCCTGCTTTTAGGCAGGTAAAAAAAATGGAAACAATTAATTGCCCAGGGTCAGTCAGTCAGTTGGACACACAGTCAGACAGGGGCACCTACACAGACAGACGGAAAGCGGACAGCAATTTTCCCAGTGTTGTCGTCGTTTTTCCTGTGCTGCTTGCTCATCGTTCATTTTAATTGCCACGACGCCTTTTTACACTGTCTGTCTGACTGTCTGTCTTTCTGTCTGTTCCGACAGTTGGCAAATCATTTTTCACACGCACATGCAGAAAGTACGAGTGCACCCACACACATACACACAAAGTGTGTTGTGTTGTGTTCAAGTGCGTGTTTCCCATTTTCCATTGAACCAAAAATTCCCACAATTGCCACTCGGGGGAAGCGGAGAAACCCACACTATATATTTTTGCTGTTGCATCTGCATCTGCTACTACTGCTGCTGCTGCTTTTGTTAATTTATCTTTTCCGAGTTTTTCCCTGAGACAAATCTGCCCACCTTTGACCTCTGGCCAAACTGCACCAACACCAACACTTACCCCTACTACTGTCCAACTCCTGCCCACCTAATCGCAGGCGTTGACAGACACATATCCTGCGTGCGTGCATTGTATCCTGTGAACACTTTGCGTGAAATTTTAATTGCCCGTTTTATGGCGCGTTGATTAATGTCCCGTTTAGTGTCATGTTCAGTTCTCACTCACAATTATGTAAATTGGCAAGCAGCTAGCCAACAAGTCAACTGACCAACCCTGCCCTTACTCTTACCAACTCCACCCCCTCGCCACATATGCAGTCATAAAGAGGAACCAAGTTTCTCGCTGCAGTCGTTTATTTTCAGTTCAATAAACTCCAGCCTGGCCTGGCGTATCCTCCTCCTACAACAACAAGAACAACAACAACAACAAAGAGCAGCAACCAATTTCCATAAAATGAAATGAGCTCAACACAAAGAATAAGTTGAAAACCAGGCTGGAAAAGTGCTGGACAACTAACAGAGCCACCCTGCAAGCGACCGAAAATGATGATCATCATCAGCAACAGCAACAAGCAGCAGCAGCAGCAGCAGCAGCAGCAGCCACATCTTCTTCATCTTAAACTTCTTTATCTTCTTCTTCTTCGTTTTCATCTCATACTCGTTGGTTGGTTGGTCGTTCGTGTTAACCCGTAGGCAACAGGCAGGCAGTTAGGCAGGCAGTTAGGCAGTCAGTTCTCGTGTCGATGACGACGTCGCTGTGGAAAACTCAGCGCCTTTAAGACGCGACTGTACTTTTCGACGATTCGTGACTGAGGCGGAGATTGAGACAGCACAGGGTGATTCCAGTTAACAACAACTCCTGTCTCTCTCAATTGCTCTCGCTCTCTCTCTCTCCCACTCTCTCTCTCTTGATGCCGCCGTGTGCTGATGACGTCGCCGTTCGCTTGGCTGAAGTGGAAAGTGTTCCATTGCGGGCCCCCCCACACCCTCCCCTCTCTCTCTCTCTCTCTCTCTCCCTCTCTCGCCCTCGCTCCCTCTCTGCGTCTTCCCATTCTGCTCAGTTGGCTCTTCTGCCGTTTTCTGTTTGTTTGCCTCTGTTTGTTTTGACTCTGAGCCGCTGTCGTTGTTGCTGCGCTTGTTATTTTCTCGTGCCCCCTTTTTTTTTGTACCTTCGAACCGATCGTCGGTTGTCATAGAACCGACTGTTGACTGTCGAGCTGTCGGCTGTTGGCTGTGCCTGCTGACTGGGACGCTCCCCACTTGTGTTTGCTGCCACATATTAAACGACAATAACAACAACAACTACAACTACACCTTGCAACCCCTTTTCGGTTTTTTTTTGGTTGGTGTTCCTCTTGTTTGTCTGGCTTTGCATTAATTATCTTTGTAGCTAGTTGCCGGCTTTTCCACTTGTCGCTGCTAAATTAATTTACCTCCCACCCCTCTCCCCCACACACACACAGCCCACATCCATTTACATTTGCTGTTCCCAGTTGATAGTTGTGGGTTCCCAGTTTAATTATGAACAGCAACTTAAAGTTGACTCACTCGCCCCCGTCACATTAAGAACGAAGAACGAAGAGCAAGCAGAAGAAGAAGAGGAAGTCGACTAAGAAGCCATCGTTGGAAGACATTGGCCCTGTGAGAAACTCCCACGCCAACAACAACACAATTCAGTTGGCTGATCTGCATCTGGATCTGGATCTGGATCTGGATCTGAAAATCTAGCATGTGGGCCCAGTTCTAAGTTGATTGTTTTTATTTTCATGGCCATTTGGTTCTTCTTGTTTTTTTTTTTGGCTTCTTAGCTTCTTTCACCCCATAAATATTTCTTGGTGCCTGCTAAATGAAAAATCGTCTCGCCGCGTCGCTTCTCGAGTCTTTAAGTGAAATTTGTACGCTTCAATGCACAATTCCCACAATATCAACATCAACATCAACCTGAACCTCAACGTGAACGACAACCTTAAATCCCAGTCGCTGTCGACGACTCCTTTCTAAGGACAAAGTCATTAAAGGGCGCGACGATGCACAAACCATAAATCGGCAATTGATTTTAGCTTTTCTCTGAATTCAGATCATCAAAAAAACCAGAAGAGGAGACAGCACAGTGACTGGTTCTCGTTCTCGTTCTCGTTGTCGCTGTACATAATGATGATGATGATGATGATGAGTGTTGCATCTGTGTGCTGTGAGGCCTGTGCCAGTTTGATAAGTTTAGTGCTAGATGCTTCGGTCTTATCAGCTCGGGCCCTTTTTGATTGGGAGTTACTTTTATTTGGTTGTCAAACATCTAATCTGGACTGGGTTCCCAAATCTTCGAGCAAACAGCACTTTCCAAATGCAGCACCCTTGAATGCGATTTGATTTTATTATTTGTTGTTGTGTTGTTGTGTTGATCTGTGATTCGTTTTATTCATTTGTTTGTTTGCCTTTGGCTCAACGCAACTCAACGCAATGCAACGCAAATGAAATTAACATCAGCATGATCATAAACAATTCACGTCAGTCATTAACACTCATCATCATCATCATCATGATCATGATGCTGATTATTATGATGATCACGAGCATGCCGGAGTTAATGAGTCCAGGAGCAGCTCACAACGGGCCTCGTGAACTAACTGAAAAAACTGGGCACATGCCAAACCAAAGCCAAGCCGCCGATCACATGATGCTATGGCGGAGGAGGCTATCTCTGTCTCTGGCTGATTCATCTTGGCCATGCTCTTCCACTTAAATCGCTTGCACAATCGTTGGCTGTTGCGAGTGATACATACATGCATTTATACATGCATTTATGTATATGTTTTATATCACATTATTTTTATTATTATTATTGCTAGCATTTTGGTTAACTTTTGGTGCCATATCAACGTGTTCTTCACCGAAGGTTGACATAAAGCAAAAGCATAACTCTGTCTTATCAGACACGGTCCGTAAAATATCTTGCATATTTTTTTTGTATTTTTTTCTTTCTGTTTACTTATCACTTAAAAGCAAAGACGCTTTCAGCTATTGATGTGGTATCAACTGCAAATTGTGCAAGCGCAGCAAAATATGTTCTTTCCACTTTTCTTCGAATTGATCACTTAATATAGATATATTGCGCTTGCGTTGTAGTTAAGTTACACTTAGCCTTAACAGGCTCTACAAATGTTTATATGATGGAGGTCTGCTCCCAGCTGCAAGTCAAGTCAAATCCGCGGCGCGCTGCCCGCTTCTCGCTCCACATTTCCATCGCTTGGGCTCAACGCCAATCAATCAATTGTTGTGTGTAAAATGGCCACATTACACACAATCGCAGCGTGAGTCATTGAATGGGGAATGGTGTGCATTGGAGTGTGGAGTGGTATGGATGATGGAGTGAGATGCAGCAGCAGCAGCAGCAGCAGCAGCTCCAACAATGCAATCCATTTATGTTTCTGTGTCTTTGGGTTTTGAGTCATGGGCCACAAAAGTCTGTCGATGAAAACCCAACAGTTAAAAGCAGAAAAAACTTGAAGATGATTTTTAAATATTTTGTATGTTTCGTGTGTGTGTGAGAGAGAGAGAGAGATAGAGTGAGGGTGCAGCAACAAAAACGTGCAACATGAACGTGCTTTGTGGCTTACTTTTCACCCACAAGAAGACAACAAATTCAACTGATCAAGATGTGACGCTGCTGTCTTAACCTTGTCATTTAGGCCGATTTTCTGGAAATATATATATATATATATATATATAAACATAAATTTTGTTATTGTATTTTCTGGGTCGATCGATGACGATCAGGCGATGGTCAAGCAAAGCGCCTTTTGGTCAACCGATTCACAAGCAAATCGCTTTATGTTGTGGCATTTCCGTTTAATGCTTTGCTTTGCTTTGGTTTGGTTTGCTTTGCTGACTCAACAGCCAGCAAGACATTGGCCATGGCCAAGAAGTCAACAGATCGAAGTCGAAATCGAAATCGAACTCGAACTCGAGCTCGGTCTCGATATCGAAATGGCAGCTCAACAAACGAAGCTGTTTTGCGCATAGATCGAAGTTGGCTTCTCTAATGTCTAATGCCAATTAAGGCGGTCTCTGCCCGCTGCCACGCCCACCACGGGCCAACTGGTTTACTGGCTTTGCCACAATCCGAGCCCTTTTCTGTCGCTGTCAATCGCTGCTCGAGTTGAGTTTTGCGCCATTTCCATTTCCATTTCCAATTCCATTTGTCATTTCGAATTGACGCAAATCTGTGGGCTCCACACGCCACAGTCCTCCTCGCACAGGGTGACCCAGGTGCGCCATAAAGA